CATGCAAAGACAGGCTGCAGCTGATGAGCAGTCACGAAATTTGTTCGATCAATTAAATTCTGCCGTATATCTCATGATACATGAATCATAGTTGTTATGGATGCTTTCGTTGTGAAAAGATGGCAGGGGTTTCATTGGTAGTGCACCTTAGTAATATGCGCAAAAATTCGAGCTCCAGATATAATATTCCTTTTATCATCCCCGGGGGAGGAATAAGAAGAAGGGGCAATTTCTGGGACCAAGTTGTCTTTTAGCTGACATTTCAAAAACTGACGGTCACAAACGCAGTTGTGCTAGAACCCTCTTTCAGCGCGTTCAGACACACTGCAATGACGAAAGTGGAAAGAAAGAAGAGATTAAGAACTTGCATGCCCTATTTCAGGCCAACGGTTACCCAAAGTCCTTTGTACGCAAGTGTCTTAAGAAGCCCCACCATGAGCGGTTGAAAGGAGAGGAACCGAAGTTCCTTTATGTGAAGAATGTATCAGAGGCAGCTATAAGAATCCTGAAACCATTCGGGATCGGTGTGGCTCATAGACCAGAGTCAACCATCAGACAGCAAATCATGCGGCCCAAGGACCCGCTACCATTGAAAGAACAATCAGGTGTGGTCTGCAGCATACCATGCCAAGACTACGATGCAATGTACAGTAGTCGCCAAAAATCACGCAACATGCCGACACATGCGAAAGATTGATGCTCTTTCGCTAATCGGCATTGATTTAGGTTGTGATACGGATTATCGTGTAGCCTATTCTGAAATCATTTCAGTCATGACAGAATGCGGGTTTTTGAACAAGCTTCGTTCTGATCACTAGCAAAACGTATCTATTGTAAAAACTACTTATGTAGTGTGCCTTTTTATCATTTATTTTTACTGTCTTTATAAATTCAAGTGTATTTTATGGAAAACATGCACCCACTACTTCCCATATGTTGACTTACCGCCCTGTCCTTTATCGATTATTTTAAACTGATCCACGTTCCTTGCTGATGCCAGTAATTCTGGGAAATTTACAACTGCTCTATGTGTCCTCGTTATATTTCTTATGCAACGACAAGTAGCAGCTGAGAAGCTGTCGCGAAATTCGTTCATATTTTGTTTTATAAAGTGAAACGGCAAACGCAGTTCATCATATCTAGCGTGCGTAGCCCCGTTTAAGTTAACTGCGCTCGAACCAATCAGATTGTGTCCGCAAGCGGGTAACGACTCGATTGGGTTTGCAATTCGTCCGGCTGCGTGTGAGCGTCCTAAGCCTGGCCACATCAGTGCGCGCCATAACGTGCACTGTGTATGAGCGGTCCGGCGGTATGGCGTGGGAGCAACTCGCCAGGTCTGTGTGCAAGTGTGTCGGTTAGGACGGCTCCTAAAACTTTCCTCCCCTACCCAATGACGGATTCGGATGCAGAGGCCGACAAAGTTAGTCTGCTCGTCTATTCGTGCCACGCTTGACCCCGCACAGGCTTTCGTGCGAGCGGTTCGGATCTCGCATGCGTTAGCATACTATATTCAGAAGGAGCCATTGCAGTCGGAGTCTCCATCCTTAGAAGACGTACTCCCCCTAACCATAACTTGTTTTTTTTCAGGCTCTGGGAGGAAGTGACCCACAACTTGAAAGTTGGCAATATTGATGCCGCCACGGACGCCAAAACACGGCTGGAACAGCGTCAACGCCGGGAGGCTGCAGCCCGTCAGGAGACCAATGAGAAGTGGGATCCACATTACTTTTCGGAACAGGGCAATACCTACATCTATCGCTGGCCCCTGATGGGCCGAATTTATCAGGCGTCGTCGTCGCCGCCTAATAATAATAATAACACAACTCAGTCTAACAGTCTTGCTAGTTCTCAGGCAGTTAGCACCCACCCCAACGATGAATCATCCACGCCTACACCACCGCCT